TAATGCATGTAGAGTGACATACATATTTGTTGGGTTGCTAGCACAATATAGGCCACCAAATTGTCATTCCCTACTTTTTTTAGCCAGTTCCATTCAAATTTCAACAATAATGCATTCACTCTTAAATTTCTACTGAACATTAAACAATTATTAATCTTTTATATGGTTTCATTACTCTTTTCCTAATTTCAAACCCCTAATAATCTCATTTCATCAAGAAAGACACAATTCATGCAAAAACTAATATACATTTCATACAAAAATTAACAACTTCTCAAAACAAACAAAAACATATCTTGTAATTTTCTCTATATCTCCTATTTTTTAATTATTTTCTATATCATTTCACATTCAAATCTTATCATTAAAAATATATTGTTTCATTTTGTCCTAACATGCTTTATTCATATAAATATTGAAATCAACGTCACATTTCCCTCCGCGATAGAACTTTGGCTAATCAATGTCATAGTCTTTGTTTTGAAGTTCTCCCTCACAATTTTTTATCCAACAAGATTTAAATGGAACAGATTGTGGGAAATCACTTCAATATGATTTGGGGATAGTTTTATGTTATGGCCATATGGACAGATTTGAGGAAAAACCACTGACAAAAATCCAAACACAATAATTTCAAAACCTCAATGCAAAGGTTTAGCACTAATGACATGTTAATCATCCAACACACAATTCATACAATATCAAACATTATTCTATCATGTTTATCAACTACACAATACTAGACATTGCAAAAACTTAACCTATATAGCAAAAAGGGACACAAAATTGTACCAAATATTCAAAGAGTTAGTAGCAAAACCAAAACTTTGACACTGTGCACATTCTTACTTGCTTGATATTGTGTCAGAGACAACCACGGTACCCAAAATAACTCGAACTTTGTTACACTCGATCAAAGTCTTTGTTGAGGAAGGGCTTTAATGAGTTCACAATCCCAACATCTTCTATTTCTTATCGTTGTGCATGGTCTTGCTTCCTTCACAATGTCACGGAGACAACCACGATGCACTCGAACGGGAGCTGCAAACTCTTTCGGTGGCAAATTCTTTCAGCTTTTACCTGGAAAGGGTGAAAAAACCTCAGCGCGGGAGAATGTGTTTTGCTGCAATAGGCTCCCTGACTTTCACCTCAGCTCAGTTTCACAAAAAGACTTCCTTACCAATCTCTAAATTATAACTTTCACTCTTCTAAATTACAAATAAAACCCTAAATTTTAATAAAATCACATTTTACCCCCCAAGTTGATGTTTGGTTGTTTGACCGTGAGTATAAAAAAATCATATTCGAATATATTATCGTTTTTCTCTTATGTTTGGTTAAAGGAAAAAGATTTATTGACAACCAATATTTACAAATATATGATTGACAATCTTAAAATATTTTTATTTGTAGTTGATTAATAAAAAAAGAATGAAATAAGATAAATAAATAATAATATAAAAATTTTAAATATAAGTTATTGAATTGATTTTTTGGGTCATTTGCGATATCAAAATATGCATTTTTTAATTAAATGAAGAGTATCTCTGTAGCTTTATTTAACATATTGTAGAGATACGTTTGTTACCGTAAGAAATTTACATGAGAATTTATATTTTAAGGTTTAGAAACGGAAACAGTATTATTATTTTAAGCTTTGTACATAATACTGTGTAATTTATCATTTGTTTATTTTTAATTAATTACTCATTTAGCTTTAATGTATAGAATGTTGATTAAGGATCAGATTTAATGTACAATTAGTTTTTTTAAATTGTAACTAATTTGAAAAAAAAATTCTAAACTGGATATCAAAGACAATGACTTTTAAATGTTTTAAAAATATTAAGACAATTGTGTCACTTATATGAAATTTGTCACAATTTATTTTATTTTAACTTTTTTAAATTTTAAAATCATATATGTAAAATGGTATATATATATATATATATATATATATATATATATATATATATATATATATATATATATATATATGGATTGTGATAATATATTATATTTATATACTACGTAGAGTTGAATTTTTTTCTTTTTACTTTTATTCTAAATATTTTATTTTACTTTTTAGTTAAAAACATGATAATGTTATAATTTGTTTATAAATAATAAAATATCTAACTTAATAATTTTTTATAATATTATTATATCTTTAATTAATATAATTTTTAAATTTTTTCTCAATTTTTAACTTCAAATACTTTATTTTATTTATTAGTTTAAAATATTTATAGCCTTAAAATTCAAATATAGGAGGATATCCTCCATCTTCATCTTGACATCACTTACAGACAAGAAAAATTTAGTTAATCTTGTTAGTTTTATATGGATTAAGAAAATTCTGCATCTTATAAACTGTGTTAACATTAAAGTTACTTTCCAAATAAAGTTTCTCCTATATAAAGAAAATGAAAATTCAACCAATAGACAATTCAATGATTATTTTGACGTTATTTTATAGAATAAATTACTATGCAACTCCTAAGTTTTTTTAAATTATGATTACATTTTACATTGACATATTGTCAGCCATGAGTATAATATATCTAGAATTTAATAAAATATATATAATATAATAACATTTTCTAAACCATGATTTCTATTAAATTTTAAAAAATTAAAGTTTAAAGATATTATGATAATATTAGTGAAAATACTAATTATATTTTATATTTTTCATCTATGAATATACAATATTTTAAAATAATATGTTGTCACATTTCTTTATTTTTTATATTCATAATTTTTGTATACACACAAAATGGATCCAGATACGTGGATTTCTTCTAAAAAAAAAGGTGAGTTATCTTTTTATATTATATTTATTTTTAATAAATCTATTTAAATATATAATATAATAATAATATATAATTAATATATTTATTATTTTATTATATATAAAAATATATAAATTATAAATAATTATTTAAAATATTTATATAAAAGTATTATAAACAGAATTATTTTATTAACCTTAAATTTTTGTAATAAATGAACTTTTTTCTGTCCTTAAAACACAGCAAATTACTAAATTATCCGAATTTTTTCATGATCTCTAAAAAATATTTATTATTATAATTTTCTAATAATAATAATAATAATAATATTAATCATTTCATATTAATAAAAAAATTAATTAAAATATAATAAAAAATTGTTTAAGCATTTTTTTATTAAGATATTCTGTGAACAAAATTTTATTTAACATTTTTTATTATTAATATATAATGACAAATATAATAAATATTATTTTTATTAATTAAATTAATAAAATGATATTTTTATTCCAAAATTATGATATTGATAAATTTTATTGTGGTGGTTCTAACTAGTTAAAACTTCAGAAATATTCAAAGTTTTATAAATGATATTTATTATTCATATGATATATAAAATTTTATGAAATGATTTATTATTTTCTATTATTTCTATTAAGATAATTACACACTTCTTATATATAAAAACTGAGTATAATATTACTTATTTATTTCATGAAGATATTAAAAGAGTTTTATTTATCTCTTAGTAAATATATATATATATATATATATATATATATATATATATATATTGAATTATAGTTTCCTTTTAAAAAACTATTAAAATTAATATAAAAATTTAATTTTATAAATATATATATGATTAAATAAAAAATAATACTGTTGCCTACTATTCCTTTATTTTTCTTTTCATCGAGGAACATAGTATAATATTAAAAAAGATGAGTAAGGAGAGAAACCCAAACCACCATGACCGATCATCAACTTGATACCCCAAGACCTTCTATAAGCCATACTTCTAAAATAAATCTTACCATTCCCAAGTTCTGTAAAGAAACCCTAAGTCATAAGTTAGAAAACCTTATCGAATATTCTCGAATCCCAGAAGATGCCCAGATAGAAAGTTCTTTACCACTACTATTAAGTCCATATAATGTCTTTAGAAGAAACAAAGGGAGATTTTCCTGGAGTGTAAAAAATTTGATATCCACCCCCAGACCAGGAGTAAAAGAGATTATCCAAACCACAAAGATGGATAATTGAGCCCTGAGTGCTACTTCGGCAGAACAATATGTAGATCTAGAGATATAACCTTCTCTCATCAAACTATGGCAAAGAGAAGGATATGTGGCTCTTCATTTTGGAGCAGTCAGGCTGGTTCTTACCCTTCATGGAAGAAAAGGCTTGCCGGTAACCGCTAGAGTCTCTCTAATAGATTCAACGTTCCAAAAATATGAGCATGCTGTTATTGGAACAGTCTTGACTACGCTAAATTCAGGAAGTGTAGTTTTGACTATGTTTCCTAATTTCTGTGTACAACTAAAAGACCCAACTCTTCCAAAGAGATTCCGAGTACAAGTCCAGATTGTCGGAGCACCACAAGATGAAAGTGCTTTGTCAGCTACTCTCCATCACCAGCTGATCTTTAGAATCCAAGATCATTGTTATGATCTTCCAACAGAATCGCCATTTGCAAAAAATGCTCTAATGGTGATCTCAAACACAGAAGAACACACTCCTTCCATAATCCAAATTCCCAAATAGATTCCTAGAGAAGAGCTTGAACAACTAATCCCGAGAGAATGGATTAGTAATTATGAAAATTTCAAAAAGAATCAATCACCAATCATCAAGACAGATCATGCATTCAAAAGACTCCCAGACGGAACGGTAAAGACCATCTTCAAAAAGAATAATGATGAAGAATCATCATCTTCTTCAACTGTCTTTACATCTATGATGATTACCTTGGGAGAAAAGGAAAGGAAAATTCCTGTACATTCCTTCCAACCAGATGGAAAACCCATTTATTCTGACAAAATAAATGGACATTTCATATGGGATGAAAATCCAGAAATGTGTGACCCAGGATGCCCTTGCGCAGAAGCATCGGATGACTCTAGTGATTCAGAAGAAGAAGAAGAAGATAGTGATGATGATGAGGATATCCACAAACCTCCTTCCAATCCTGACAATCCAAGAATGGTGACTTCTCGCCAACCATTACCAATCTATGAAAAGATTTTAAAAGCCTTGAAGGAAAATTATGATCACTATTGTCAGAAGAAGAGGACAAAAGCAACTCAGCTGATACAGACTCAATGTTGTATGATGTTGTCTTCTGAAGAAGAATTTCCTAGTCTGCGTCAAGCAAATTCACAAGAGGAAATTATGATGAAACCTTTCATCTACAGCAAAGAAGTGACAGCAGAAGGAACCAAGAAACCTATCTCTCAGGCAGAAGAAGTGCTAAACTGGCAAACAAAAAATGTTTTAGCCCAGAATAGCCTACTACAAAAGATTGAAAGAAAAATGGATAAAATTGAATTGTCCATAGAAAAAGAGATCGGAGGCATGAATTCCAGGCTACAAAAGCACTATGCAGAATTGAAGGAGAAGATGGAAAGACTTGAAGAGGAGACAAGAAAAATTAAAGAAACAAGGAGATTCAACAACCTGCTCATTGAAAAAGAAAGAGAGTTACAAAAAACCAGAGAGCAGTATGAAGAACTTGTCCATTATGTAGGAGAGAAAAAGAAGATTCCCATCTTCGAAGATGAACCTTACTATGTAAGGCCATCAAAAGTATTTCCAACAATTTCAAGACAATCTCTTAAACCAACTCCACTTTTTCCCCCGAAAGACTTTCCACAAAGACACAGAGATTAGTTTAAAGAAAAAAGAAAAGAGAAAGAATCTGAAGAAGAAATTTCTCCTGAGCCTACACCTGAACCTTCTCCTAAGAAAGCAGAAGTCTCTTCTGATGAAAAGATTTTCCAAGATGCCCAAGACCCTTATTCTCAATACACAATCCACCATATCAGTTCAGATGATTCAATTCCTTCTTCTGATGAAGAATCAGTAGAATCTTTTGAAGAAAACACTGAAACAAAAGAAGCAGAAGTAAACAATACTTTTATGGCAAATGATACAGATCAACCTTTTGCTGATAGAACGAGACTACATAGACAAGAAGTTAACACTCCACATCCAAACAATAACATGATGTTCACAATTGACAATATTCCCCCATCCCAATGGAGAAAAAATTTTCTAGATTTCAAAGCATGGTTAGACACAAAGATGGTGAACCCAGGAGCAGAAAGATACAAAGTCATAGCAGAATTCTGCGCAGGCATGACCGAAATTCTGAAAGAATGGTATATCACCCTGGGAACAGTCAACCAAGAGAGTCTTCATAATTCTACTATTGAAGAAGTTATTGGGGCATTACAATTCCACTTCTTGGGGAATGCAACATTGTTGGACCAAGAATCCAGGAGAGAATTCTTTGAAATGAAGTGTTGTTCTTTGGAGAAGAAAGACCTTGACAGACATTATTTAAGGATGTCCCAAAGGTTTTATCAGCTCAATGGAGTCAATGATCCTAGCCTAAAAAACACTTTTGTGAGTTCTCTACCAGAAGAATTACAAGATGAAATGTGGAGGATACTTCAACAAACAAATAAAGAAATCTTGCAGATGACTATGGGAGAAATCTATCAAACTTGCATTACTGCTAAAGAAAAATTATGCAGTCAGCAAAAGATGTTCAGCAAGATGGCATCAGATCAAAAGAAATACAAGAAAACTTGCAAGAAAAAATATTTGCAGATCCAGTGCAAAGAGGATGGTTGTTCACTGCAAAAACAAAAAATCAAAAAGGTTTCCTCCCAAAACCAAATTCAAGCTGAAGAAAGGAAAGAAATATAGATTCTTCAAGAAAAAACCATTCAGAGGAAAAGGAAACAATCTGAGGTGCCATATCTGTAAACAGAAAGGACATTTTGCAAAAAATTGTCCAAACAAAAGAGAAAAATCTGCGAAGCTAACAGAACTCTTCTTAACCAAAGAAGAAGATGACCTAGAATCACTGTATGAAGAACAACTAGAACCAAATGACCAGAAAAGTTTTCGCCATTGCAGATTCAGAAGAAAGCTCAGAAGAATCCAGTAATGAAGAATATTTTCCTGTGTTAAAAATCCAAGAAGTCAATACCACAGAACCAGAAATTCCTTCACTCCCCAATGCAGAAATATCCATTCTTCCCTCCAAGTATGATGTTCCAATCAAAGCCATAGGATTTATTGATACTGGCTCAACAAGGACAATGATGAATCCCATAATCCTTCCAGCTAAGCTATGGACAAATCATATCCATAAGTTCAGAGCAGCAAATGGAGAAATATTTCAGACAACTTTGATAACCAAACAGAAGGTAGGAATTCAGTTTTTCCCTGGTTGTACAGTCTGGATAAAAGTAATTGGAAATGATAAACACGGAAAAGATGTGCTAATAGGAAGAGATGTTCTAATCCAAATTCGGAGGTTGCAGATATTATCCGATGGTCTCAAGTTTAAAAGGTTAACTAAGCCTTTTGTGCCAATTTCAAATTTATTCACATTGGCAGATGTTCCTCCTGGATATGAAGAAATCAGAAACAAATTACTTAAATTATGTGCAGAAAGTCATGATCTCTTCATTCATCTAAATCCTTTATGGAAGAGAGAAGAATTTTTTGTCACACTTCCTTTCAAGAAAAGTGAAGACATCAATCCAACAAAAGCAAGTCATCTAGGAATGAGTCCATCAGATTATAAGGCAGCCCAAGAAGAATGTCAACAACTACTAAAACAAGGCCTCATTGAGCCTACGAAATCGGATTGGGCCTGTCCGACTTTTTATGTCAATAAAAGGTCAAAACAAATCCGACAAAAGAAGAGACTTGTTATTGATTACAGATCATTAAACCTATTCATCAAAGATGACAAGTTTCCATTACCCAAGATCTATTCTCTTCATTCCTACATCAAAGATGCTTATTTTTTCTCAAAGTTTGACTTGAAGTCAGGCTTTTGGCAATTGGGCCTTAATCCCAAAGACAGACCCAAAACAGCCTTCAGTATACCAAATGCCCATTACCAATGGACTGTCCTTCCTTTTGGACTAAAAGTAGCCCCATCACTTTTCCAAAAGGCCATGGTTCGAATCTTTGAACCCATCCTTCACAAGTGCTCTAGTTTATATTGATGATATTCTACCTGTTCTCATCCACGAAACCGATCATAAGCTTTTGCTTCAAGAATTCCATGATCTTTGTCACAAATATGGAGTGATGCTCTCATAAAAGAAATCTGAAGTTGGAGTCAAAGAGATAGATTTCCTTGGAATGCATTTTTTTCACGGAAGATATGTTCCTCAACCACACATTGTAGAAAATCTACCACAATTCCCAGATGAGAATATGACAACAAAAGAAATCCAACAATTCCTAGGAATTCTGAACTATGTAAGAAACTTCATTCCAAACATAGCACTCTACATCTCCAAGCTTTCAAAGATGCTTGAAAAAGAATCCTCCTCCATGGGGAACAGAACAAACGAAGTAGTAAGAATTCGAAAAAGATTTCTCAAGACCCTCCACCGTTAAAGATTCTCGGAGAAGGAAAAAGAATATTGCAAACGAGATGCTAGTGACCATTTTTGGAGTGCTCGTATTAATTGAAGAACTTGCGGATGAAAATTTTTACTGTGGACATGCCAGTGGAGCATTCAAAGAAACAAAATTACACTATCATACGGTGTTCAAAGAAACTTTGGCAGATCAAATATGGAATTCAAAAATTTGACTTCCATCTCGGAGGACATCAATTTGAAGTTCATTTGGACAACTCAAGCATTCCCAAAGATGCTTGATTTCAAAAATAGAGTACCACCAAATCCTCAGATACTCCGCTTGAAAGAATGGTTTTCCCGATATGATTTCACAGTCAAACACATAAAAGGAAATACCAACATTATCCCTGATTATCTGAGTCGACCAAAACCTGCACCAATCCATATCATTTCATCAACCCATTCCTATCCACTTATCTTCATGCAAAACCCGTCTTCATCTTCTAATCCTTACCCTCAAAATCCATTTCCACCTGAAATAAGATTTGACTTTATAAAAACCCCTGCAACTTTGCAACAGTTTGCTAGACAAAATATGTTCTCATATCTAGCAAAGTCTCTACAAAACCACCAGATACCTCCAAAACAAAACTGGTTCAATCCAGATACTCCTTTTCTGAATATCTTTGCTATTCTTATGGGAGAAGAATTCACAGAAGATGATCAATGGTACTTATGGTGTGTCTCAATCCTCGCATCATTATCCAATTATCTTCCCAACAAAAAAGATGTTAAGGATGCTGAAAGAAGATCGTTCCAGTTTATTAATTAAGTTTTTAAGCTGGTATCAACCAATTTCTCTGTGGATCAACGCCATCAATGAAGAACTAAACAGAACACAAAGACAAATGATAGATTGGAACTCAGAATATTTCATCACCGTTGCTATAATTCACAGGCCATATTTTGCACATCCAGAATCATATGAACTGTGGACGCAAAATCAAGTCAGAATTTGGTCAACATTTCCAAGATTAAAGATCTTTACTCAACAGGACCAACCTCCTTTCTATCAAAGTGAATTAATCATAGAATTGCACAGGCTTAATGGAACATTCTCAGAGATGATCAACAAAAATTCCACTTGTTCACATTTAAAGCCGTTAGATATAATTTGCAAACCAGATGGAGACTCTGGACCTTTCCATGATCAAGAAGAAAGAGTGATGCCACTTGTCAATATCCAAGAAAGCAGACAAATACAACTGGAATCAGCAAACATTGACGGACAAATTATTATGATAAAAGCAGATAATGACAATGAAGACTTTGTGATAAATATGGAAGACTCTGACTCAGATGACCCAAATCTGTCACCAAGTCATGAACCCATTTTCAAATGATGTGACATAAAGAAGACTCATGTGACAGACCCATGTGACAAAAGATGTTCGGTGTGAAATAAAGATATCGACAAGATATGCTAGGTGTGATATAAATGTATCTAATAAGATATAAAGTAGAGATAATGTTGGAAGAAAAATCAATGTAAATTATTTAAGAGTGTTTGTCTGTATATGCCTTCTTTTGGTTATAAAAGAGAAGGTGCTCAGTTATTGTAAGATATCGAAAAACTAGAAATAAAACTTGAGTGTTTTCCATTCTCATGAGTTTCTAAGTTCTTTTGTTTTCTTTCCTGAAAGTCTTTATTTTTATTATGCTAGTGTTCTTCTAACTCGATGGAGATATATTGGCTGGAAAAGCAGAGAACCTCTGTTGGTTTTATACCTAATTACAGAGCGAGGCCTTCATGCCTATCCTCTGCAGACTCCCTTCACCGGGATAAGTCACAACAACGCCACGTATCAATATCAGGTGAGATAAAGAATAAGGGAATAGTAATATTTAGCATAAATAAGTATGCTCTCTACTCGCCTCACATGAGGATCTTGTACATCAGAAAGTTTGTGTGATCCAGATCCATTTTCGGTCTCTGCTATTTTGATATGATTATTAAACTAATTAGCATGTGCTTGAGAAAGTAAGTTTGGAATATCGAAGTCTCGCATGTGAAAGGTTTAATGATTATATTAAAGTATGCATCATAATTAATAAGTTTTATTAAATAAAATCTAAATATAAATTTTGTTTAAAATTTGTACACATAATTGTACAAACATGATGAAAATGAAACTAATAATAACAACAAGACTTATGATATGATTGGAAACATAGAGAGAAGATAATGTAAAATTGATGATTAAGTTAAACAACAATTTAGACATATATTCTATCTTCATGGCTTGTTAGCAAATCAATTTTACTTTTTGAGATACAGATTATCTATCACAATATAATGTTTTTCTTATTTATTTACATTATAAAATATAAAATGTGAGAAACAGTCCTCTTTAAAATTGAAACCGTATTTAGATAGAAATATATAGAGATTTGTTTGCTAATATTAAATTTTTACATATTTCAACTTAATTTTGGTACTAGTACTATTACAAATTTTTAATAAATTTGGTACTAGTACTATTTCAAATTAATTTTAATATTATTATAAAAATATAAAATTTGTATTGAATTGTAAATTAGATTTAAATACTTAATTTAAGATTATATATATATATATATATATATATATATATATATATATATATACATATAATAATTAATAAAAAAAAGGTGTTAGATTTAAAGGGAAGCCCAACAATCGATGAGAAGATAAAAATAACCATATATGTATACCTTATTATTTCATTACAGGGTATAAAACCAGGAAAGTTCTGTGAAGCTTGTGGTGTGAGAAGCTAAAAGCGATTATGGGTAGCAGAATGGGAAGAAGGGTGGTGCAGTTCGCAAACCTACCCATAAAGCTTTTGATGCCAACAACCTTCACCAACATCCAAGAAATCGCACTCAAGACTATTCCTTCGGCCTCCAAGATCGAGATCAAGCGCGTTCTCGAATCGCTCTACGGCTTCGAGGTCGAGAGGGTTCATACGCTAAACATGGAGGGCAAGAAAAAGAAAAGGGGCGGGTTGTTGATCGCCAAACCCGATTACAAAAAGGCCTACGTCACTCTCAAGAACCCGCTCTCCATTTCGCCGGATCTCTACCCGATCCGAATCATCGAGGAGGATAAGAAGCGGGTCAACAAACAAACCAAGTCCAGCGTTGTCGAGGAAGAGGCCCACACCAGGAGTCACTGGCTTGATGACAGGAAAGAGACCCAACAGCCCTTCAGGGCCCACCAAAGGCATGGACGTTTGGGCCGGCCCGACGCTAATGCTAAGTTCCCATGGTCCAGCATGAGGTCTGGTAGTAGTTCTTCCAGGTAGTTGTCGTTGGTTTAGGTTTTGGTAGTAGCTGTTAACTGGTTTGGTCTATTTAAGTGTAACAGAAATGGTATGAGGTGTGATGGGTTTCACTGTATTTTGTTCTTTAACGGTAATCATGCGAATAATGTTTTTTACATTAGCTTGGTTGATTGGATGATTTGTTGATTCGTTTAAGTAGTTACATGTTTTTCATTTATGTATGTACTTATTGCTATTCACTGTGCCCTCACAATTTGCACCCAATTTGGTGAGGATAAAATTCCCTCACAATGTCTACTGATTCTAACTCGTCCTAACTCCCATGAGTTGCTGTGTTTTTTTCATTCATTCCTAGATAGGAGTTGCTGTGTTTTCCATTCCTACATAGGAGTTGCAGTATTTTTTCCATTCCTAGATAGGAATTGCTGTGTTTTTTGTATTCCTATACAGGAGTTGCTGTATTTTTTCCATTCCTAGATAGGAGTTGCTGTGTTTTTTCCATTCCTACATAGGAGTTGCTGTGTTTTTTCCATTCCTACATAGGAGTTGCTGTGTTTTTTCCATTCCTAGATAGGAATTGCTGTGTTTTTTTTTTCCATTCCTAGGTAGGAATTGCTGTGTTTTTTCCATTCCTAGATAGGAGTTGCTGTGTTTTTTCCATTCCTAGGTAGGAGTTGCTGTGTTTTCTCCATTCCTAGGTAGGAGTTGCTGTGTTTTCTCCATTCCTAGGTAGGAGTTACTGTGTTTTATCCATTCCTAGGTAGGAGTTGCTGTGTTTTATCCATTTTCAATCGAACATTGATGTTTTAAAGTTTATAGGATGGTGTAGTGTACTTCTTTTACAAATACCGTAGATATCAATTGGAGGAGGTTGTGTGCTGTTTGGAATAATCAATACAATTTATCTTTTTTTTTTAATTCTCCTCCTCTCTCTCCTCTTTTCAATTTTATCTCAAAACTTGATTGGTATTTTCAGCTAATACGGCTGTCCGCATCAATGATATTTTCCAGATCTCTATGGCTGGCGATGTATTTACATTAAACATGAGTATCTGCTGGTGCAGTTACCTCCGTACATTATCTTTACATTTCATAATCATCAAAACAGTATACAGGGAACTGTATATCAGTCTACATACTTGTTTTATTTTCCACATTCTTTGTTTTATTATGTTTGTTGGTTGAACATTGATTATTAGGTTAAAAATTTCGATTTGGGTTTGATAGGAACGACCCAACTGTGCTACTCTAATTTTAATTTTGGTTTGGTTCTTGGTTGTCAAAGAATGAGCTAAAATTGTTTATACTATAATGTGGCCAACCTACTGGTTAATAGCCAGTTGCAGAAATAAGGCACAAATTAGTCAGCCGTCATAGTTTTAGAAATCTTATTTATCTCCGAAAGACAGAAAGCTAGGTAAATTTGATTTAGGGTAAACATGTTTTGAATAATGTCCTTGCATTATTTGTCTAGAGTTCCAAATCCACGCCAAAAGCTCAGCCCCTGTGACACGGTAATGTACATGTTCCAAAAATTGAATTATTCCTCAGTACATGGGTTCTTGTTAGCTCAAGGGATCCTTGTGACATTGTGAGAAGGATGATGAATTTTGGAATATCTTAGTACTCCTCTTACTCCTTCCCCTTTAAAGCAGGTTTGGTATTACTTATCTTTATTATAAGTTTTTGTTTGTCTTTATGCTTAGAATATATATTTTAGAAAGATAAAAATTAATTATGTGGAGGAACGTAAAGAATATTTTATTTATGGACTTCTAGCAAAACTTGTGTATGAACTTTGAACTGTTCTTTAGTAGATAGATGCCTTGTAAATTTGGCCTGCATTTGTTGTTCTTTCCTTAGGAAAACCTAAATTATATAACAGTAACACACCAATGCCTAAATTGTTACTAACCTGGTAATTTTAACCGTTATATGACATGTCAACTTTTTTTGGTTTATCGTCAATAATACTCAATTGATTAGTATAATGTACGCGAGGAAGTTTGTAAGACTCAACTTTGGGAACAAAAGTTAAACAAAAGATGACACTACTGGATAATTAGTGTACTCATTGAAAATAAGACCATAAAACCTCACTCCCAATCTACATGGAATCGATCTTTTCTGTTTATCTTATCATTTTTTATATATGTTTAGTGAAAAAAAAAAAGGTTAACTAAAATAAAACTCATATTTATTCGCTTTCAAAAACGTAACATTAATTTTTTTATTAAATAAATTAAATGTTTATATAATTTCAAAACTATTTATATGGGTATTAATTAATTTTTTATTGAATAAAATATTATTTAAATTAGTAATTGTCTTATTTTGTTCAATAATATATATTTTTATATATAATTATAAAATATGTAAATTATATATTTTTCTAAAAATATCTGAATTTAAAATAATAAAATCATATTAAATTAAAACAAATATAAAATATATTAAATTATACTTTTAATTTTAAAATTTATTTTTGTATTTATTATATTTTACTAAAATAATATAATTAAAAATCAGTAGATAACAAAATAAATAATTATTTATTAAAAATAATTATGTAAAATAACATTTTCTTTATATTTTTCTTTGCCAACTTTGCCATTAAACAAAATATCTTTTTATACTCATTTTCCATATATTAATTACTTTAGTTCTGTTAGTCTATCTTTCTTCTCGACTAAATAATTTCATCTGCCATTGCAAGGCGATTGTTTGTTTTCACTAAACAATATATTCGAACTATGTTACAAAATATGTCAACAAAAACCAATGAGAATGACAAAGAGGGAAATGTGTGACTTCCAAATAAATGGCGCACAGAAAAATGTATACAGGCGGGCGTGGATGGAATTTCTCAGGAATTGAAAAATCATGGATCAATGGCAATAGGAGTAATACGCTTCTTGGCTTTGGTTTATTTGATAAGTTTGAACTCTTCGAACTAGACCATTGTTGCCCTCCCTTTTCTTCTGCCCCTGATTTTATTCCGTCCAAACGTGATTGCAGAGTTAAAACAAATTTGGAAAATGATCATGAACATTTTAACAGATTAAAAGAATTTTTAACACATTAATTCAAGACTTTTAACAGATTAAAAGATTGTTTTAACATATTAATTAAATCAGCAGTTTGAACAATCTTTTATATAAACAGGATTGCTTGAGTCTTTAAAAATATACCTTTGAGCAATCAATCAAGCAATCATAAGAGCTACTTTCAAGAAAGAATCACACAAGTTTTGTGAAGTTTTTCAAAGTTCTTTCTTAAGACATTTTCTACATTTCTTTTGTGAAGAAACTCATTCTGCAGAGCTGCATAAACCGGGTTTGAATGTTCTAGTTTCTTCTCTTTGTTTCTTTTACATTTTTTTACTGTATTGTGGTGTCTGGAAGTGTGGGCACTGGTTCTATAGCTGGAATTTGACTGCAGGTTGATTCAAGAACTGGAACTTGGTTCTTGGTGAAGGTTTAGGTGCAAGAACTGGAATTTGGTTCTTATGGTAAGATTGGGTGTCTGGAAGTGTGGGCACTGGTTTATGTGGCTGGAATTTGGCTACAGGGTGGTTCAAGAACTGGAAGTTGGTTCCTGGTGAAGGTTTAGGTGCAAGGACTGAAATTTTGGTTCTTATGGTAGATTGGGTGTGTGATTGGAATTGTAATCTGTAAAACATTCAATCTAGTGGAACTCAACTGGAATTTGGCTGAGAACTAGACGTAGCCCTAGGATTAGGTGAATCAATATAAATTTTGGTTGTATCTCTCTAAACCTTTCTCTCTTTAATTATGTTATTGTCTTTATCTTGATTATTTGTTTTGTTTGATTCAAGAATTGGTCAGAACTCTTAATCTTTGAAAAAGATAATCTGTAAATTGCGAAAATCTTTCAAAGATCAATTCATCCCCTCTTGATCTCAGCCTCCTTTTCTAACAATTGGTATCAGAGCAAGGTTCTTGAGATTTATTCAAGTTTTTCGATCCAAATGGCTAGAAATAATTTTTCTGAGGGTGCTTGTATTGATAGACCTCCATTGTTTTGTGGAACAAATTATTCATTTTTGAAGATAAGAATGAAGATCTTTATTGAATCTATTGATATAAGTGTTTGGAATATTATTGAACAAGGCTCCTATATTTTTAACAGAGAATGGTCTAGTTTGAATGATTGTGAAAATAAACTAATTCAAGATGATTGTATTGCTAAGAATATCATCAATCTGCACTTAACAGAAATGAAATTTTCAGGATATCTCATTGTCAAACTGTTGCACAAATGTGGAAAACTCTTGAAATGACTTATGAAGAAACAACAGAGATATGTTTGATGGTCAATTCGAATTCTCCCATGTCCAGTGTAAGTTCTGATTCTTCAAAAACTACTATAAATTACAGTTCATTACAAGATGCTTTTTATGAAATGCATGCAGTAGCTAAAAAATTAGAAATTGAAAACAAAAGATTAAAAAGCATGAATAGTCTATTAGAAAACAAAATCGTTCTTCTTGATAATGAAACTAAGAATGAAAATTAGGAAATAGGTAATAATTCTGATTGCATGTGTAATGATAAAAAAGATTGCAAAAATTGTCCTGAGTTATATAAGAAATTAGCATGCTTAATAAAAACTGCATCTAAACTTGCACAAGGAAAAACCAGTCTTGATATTATACTTGATTCTCAAAAGTTAGTTATTGATCGTGGTGGTATTGGTTTTACACCTCTTGTTGGAATGAAAACTAGAGCATTTAAAAACTATTTTGCATATAGTAAATCTGTTTTGTCACCATTTATTACATGCTTCTATTGTATGAAAAGAGGTCATTCTGTGAAATTTTGTAGAATCAAGAAGTATGCTATACCAAGAGGTAGAATGAAGTGGATTCCCAAGAATTCATTTAAAATAACCTGATTGGACCCAATGATTATAAAAAGGGTACCAGGTATATGTTAAATCTGTTTTGCAGGAACAAAATCTGGAAGTTCTTTGGTACCCAATCAACAAATTTTAATTCT